CACAGCCAGGGCCTGATAAGGAGGCCTGGGACTTACGAGGAACAGACTGTGAACTGCTCTGACATTCCAGAGACACTGTTTGTGATGTTTCCTGCCACAGAGCGGGTTGATGTGTTTCCTTGAACCTTTCCCATTTTTCCTTATTCTTTTTAAAATTAATTGTTGATTAAATAACTTGCATTTGCTTTAACATGTATGTAATGGTCAGTGGGTCAGAGGCTTTTTTTTGCCTCTGTCTTCACGAACAAGGTCAGCTCCCAGACTGCTGCTCTGGGAATCACAACATGGGGAATAGATGGCCAAACCTCTGTGGAGAAAGAGGTGGTTAGGGACTATTTAGAAAAGTTGGACGTGCACAAGTCCATGGGGCCGGACGAGTTGCATCCGAGAGTGCTAAAGGAATTGGCGGCTGTGATTGCAGAGCCATTGGCCATTATCTTTGAAAACTCGTGGCGAACGGGGGAAGTCTGGGATGACTGGAAAAAGGCTAATGTAGTGCCCATCTTTAAAAAAGGGAAGGAGGACCCTGGGAACTACAGGCCAGTCAGCCTCACCTCAGTCCCCGGAAAAATCATGGAGCAGGTCCTCAAAGAATCAATCCTGAAGGACTTACATGAGAGGAAAGTGATCAGGAACAGTCAGCATGGATTCACCAAGGGAAGGTCATGCCTGTCTAATCTAATCGCCTTCTATGATGAGATTACTGGTTCTGTGGATGAAGGGAAAGCAGTGGATGTATTGTTTCTTGACTTTAGCAAAGCTTTTGACCCAGTCTCCCACAGTATTCTTGTCAGCAAGTTAAAGAAGTATGGGCTGGATGAATGCACTATAAGGTGGGTAGAAAGTTGGCTAGATTGTCGGGCTCAACGGGTAGTGATCAATGGCTCCATGTCTAGTTGGCAGCCGGTGTCAAGTGGAGTGCCCCAGGGGTCGGTCCTGGGGCCGATTTTGTTCAATATCTTCATAAATGATCTGGAGGATGGTGTGGACTGCACTCTCAGCAAATTTGCGGATGATACTAAACTGGGAGGAGTGGTAGATACGCTGGAGGGCAGGGATAGGATACAGAGGGACCTAGACAAATTGGAGGATTGGGCCAAAAGAAATCTGATGAGGTTCAATAAGGATAAGTGCAGGGTCCTGCACTTAGGACGGAAGAACCCAATGCACAGCTACAGACTAGGGACCGAATGGCTAGGCAGCAATTCTGCGGAAAAGGACCTAGGGGTGACAGTGGATGAGAAGCTGGATATGAGCCAGCAGTGTGCCCTTGTTGCCAAGAAGGCCAATGGCATTTTGGGATGTATAAGTAGGGGCATAGCGAGCAGATCGAGGGACGTGATCGTCCCCCTCTATTCGACATTGGTGAGGCCTCATCTGGAGACTGTGTCCAGTTTTGGGCCCCACACTACAAGAAGGATATGGATAAATTGGAGAGAGTCCAGCAAAGGGCAACAAAAATGATTAGGGGTCTGGAACACATGACTTATGAGGAGAGGCTGAGGGAACTGGGATTGTTTAGTCTGCAGAAGAGAAGAATGAGGGGGGATTTGATAGCTGCTTTCAACTTCCTGAGAGGTGGTTCCAGAGAGGATGGTTCTAGACTACTCTCAGTGGTAGAAGAGGACAGGACAAGGAGTAATGGTCTCAAGTTGCAGTGGGGGAGGTTTAGGTTGGATATTAGGAAAAACTTTTTCACTATGAGGGTGGTGAAACACTGGAATGCGTTACCTAGGGAGGTGGTAGAATCTCCTTCCTTAGAAGTTTTTAAGGTCAGGCTTGACAAAGCCCTGGCTGGGATGATTTAATTGGGGATTGGTCCTGCTTTGAGCAGGGGGTTGGACTAGATGATCTCCAGAGGTCCCTTCCAACCCTGATATTCTATGATTCTAAGTGCCGAGTGCAGAGAGTATCCCGGAATGGGGACACCCTAGCCCCTGTCCTAGGTGACCACAGCAGGGTTGGGGGTCAAGCCCCCCAGGAATCCTGGGCCCAGCCTTGTTGGGGTTACAAGGACTCTGCCAGACAGGAGTGGAAGGGTAGTCCTCAAGAGCAGGGAGGCCACTGGGTAAAGGGAGTGGGAGCGAGGACTCAGATCCTTTCGCTAGCCCACTTCACTGGGGTAGTGCAGAAGCCAGGATAGTTCCCCACAATAGCAGGACTATTCCCCCGCTTACACTTGCACTGTAGTGGAGTGTGCTGTGAGCAGAGGGGCAGGCACCTCTGCCAGGTTATGGTATTCACAGATGCAGGAAGTGATCCACGAGGAAATTTGTTGGGAGGAGACTGGACGACCCTTCATCCTGTCTGCCACAGTCACAAACAGTGGAATGGTTTCGTTCTTTCAATGTAAAAAGTTAGCGCTCTGTGGACATCCGATGAGTGAAGCCTCTGCTCTCTGCCGCTTGAGTGCGGCTTAGGATAAGACATGGGGAGGAAGATATCCTGGTCGATGTGAAACTGGGAGACAACCTTCGGGAGAAAAGTTGGATGTGGCCTGAGCTGAAGCTTGTCCTTACAGAATATGGTGTAAGGGGGCTCTGATGTTAGGACCTTGAGCTCAGACACCCTACTGGCTGAGGTTATCACTACTAGAAACGCCGCTTTGTATGACAGGTAGGAGCAGGGAACACATCGCCAGTGGTTCAAAGGGCAGACCCATCAATTTGGAAAGGACCAGATTGAGGTCTCAGGTTGGTTGTTGGACATGCAGATATAGCCTGTCAAGACCTTTCAGGAAATGGCACTGCAGGGTTGGCAAACACTGACTGGCCCTCTGAGCCTTGATGGAAGGAAGAGATGGTGGCCAACTGAACCCTTACTGACAACATGAACAGTCCCTGCTGCTTGAGATGGAGAAGGTAGTCTACTATGAGTAGTATAGAGGGGAACATTATATAGTATAGAGGGGATGAGTAGTAGTATAGAGGGGATGAGTGATGCTGTGCCGACCAGAATGAGACTCTCTTCCACTTGGCAAGGTAGACAGCCCTGGTGGTGGGTTTCCTACTGCCAAGGAGGACTTGTCTAACCGGGTCAAAGCAGGAGAGCTCTGTGGGGTTCAGCCATGGAGCTTCCACACCGTGAGGTGCAACAACTCACGGTTTGGGTGCTGGAGATGGCCGTGATCCTGAGTTACTAAGTCCAGGAAGAGCAGCAAGGTAATGGAACTTCCATGGACATTTCCAGGAGCGAGGTGTACCAGTGTTGGCGGGGCCAGGCTGGAGCTATCAATATCACTGAAGCCTCTTCCCTCTGTATCTTGAGGAGCAGCTTGTGAATAAGAAGGATGGGTGGGAATGCGTAGAGAAGACGGCCTCCCCATGGGAGGAGGAACACGTCTGCAATGGAGCCCAGGCTGAGATTTAGGAAGGAACAAAACTATTGGCACTTCCTGTTGCGTCGCATGGTGAACAGATCTGTTTGGGGAAAGTCCCAACGCTGGAAGATGGAGTTCACGACATCTGGGCATAGGGACCACTTGTGGCCGTGAAAAGACCTGCTGAGATGATTTGCCAATTTGTTCTGTACTCCTGTGGTATGATGCTTGCAGGTGTATTGAATGAGCTACACAAAAGTGCCACAGCGTGAAGGCTTCTTAGCACAGGGGAGAGGAGCATGCACCCCCGTTTGTTGATATAGAACATCACCGTTGTGTTGTCTGTCATGACTGATACACATCTCCCTGTCAAATGGGCTCGGAAAGTCTGGCATGCCAGACGCACCACTCTCAGCTCTCTGACACTGATGTGTGAGACCAGAGGCCTTGTTTCCAGAGGTCTCCCGATGGGCTCCCCAGCCCAAGACCGACACTAGCAAGAGGGATGGCTGAGGACCGGTGAAAGGGACCCCTGCACACACTACCTACGGGTTGAGCAACCACTGACGGAGTAGAAGACTGGGTGAGGCAGAGTCACGACTCTGTCCAAACTGTCCTGAGCCAGCCAATATACCGAAGCTAGCCATGATTGGAAAGGCCAGAGTCTGAGTCTGGTGTGTTGCACCACATAGATACAAGAGGTCATGTGTCCTAGAAGCACCAGACAATTCCTTGTTGTGGTGGTGGGAAACTGCCTGAGAGTTCAAATGATGTTGCCCAGGGCCCCAAATCTCGCTTCCGGGAGATATGCCCTGGTGTGTGTCAAGTCCAGCACCACCCCTAAGAACCCTATCCGCTGAACAGGGGACAGTCAATTTCCCCACGTTCAGGATAAGGCCCAGTTCACTGAACGTCATTCTTATGAAGTTGACTTTTGCCTCCACTTGAGCCCTGGAGCGGCCCTTGATCAGCCAGTCGTCGAGGTACAGGAATGCCTGTACCTGGCGTCCATGTAGGAATGTGGCCATGACACACAAGGCGCAGCTGACAGGCCAAACGGGAGGACTGTGAACTGGTAGTGTTGTTGCTCACCACAAACCTGAGGTACCTTCTGTGTGATGGTGTAATTGCTATATGAAAGTACGCGTCCTTCAAGTTGAGGGCAGCATACCAGTCCCCTGGATCCAAGGAAGGGATTATGGAGGCCAAAGAGACCATGCAGAACATCAGTTTGCTCATGAACTTGTTGAGCTCTTGCAGGTTGTCAGGGTTCCCTCCCCACTCTGAACTCTAGGGTACATGAAAGTGCATGAAAGACCCCCTAAGCTTATTGCTACCAACTTAGGTTAAAGACTTCTCCAAGGCACAAATCCTTCCTTGTCCTTGGATGGGCACTGCTGCCACCACCAAGTGAGTTAGACAAAGATTCAGGAAAAGGACCACTTGGAGTTCCTGTTTCTCTAAAATATCCCCCCAAGCCCCATCACCCCCTTTCCTAGGGGAGGCATGAGAATAATCTACCAACCAAATAGGTAAACCAGATTCTTAAAAAACAGAACTTTATTATAACGAAAAAAAGTAAAAGAAGCACCTCTGTAAAATCAGGATGGAAGGTAATTTTACTGGGTAATCAGATTCAAAACACAGAGGATTCCCCTCTAGGCAAAACTTTAAAGTTACCAAAAAAAAAAAAACAACAGGGATGAACCTCCCCCTTAGCACAGGGAAAATTCACAAGCTAAAAACAAAAGAATTTAACACGAGTTGCCTTATTTAATTACTCTTTTTGCAATATTGAGACTCATTTTAGGATGATTTTAGAAGGAGTTTTCTGAACTGATGCTTCTCTGCTTCCCCAGAGAACACACAAACAAAGAACACAAAGCAAGCCTTCCCCCCGTCCCCAGATTTGAAAGTATCTTCTTCCCCATTGGTCCTTTTGGTCAGGTGCCAACCAGATTATTTGAGCTTCTTAACCCCTTACAGGTAAGGAGGAATTCAAGGCTACCCTTAGCTGTATGATTATGACACAGGTCTAGGATGGGCCTGAGCCCGCCTTTGGCTTATGGTATTAGGAAATACCAGGAATAGAAACCCTTGGCCTTCAGCTCATGAGGAAGCTCTTCCACTGCTCCTAGTGATAGGAGCGAGTGTACCTCCTTTATGAGGAGTTGCTCATGAAAAGGGTCCCTGAAGAGGGATGGGGAAAGAGGGTGGAAGGGCGGGAGTGCAGAGAACTGGAGGGAGTATCCCCTCTCTACCATACGGAGCACCCAGATGTCCAATTGATTCAGGCCCACACAGGGTAGAAAGGAGATAGTCAGGACAAAAAAGGTAAGGTGAGTTGGATTCAGTCCAAGTTCTGTTGCATCATCCTCGTTCGCACCTTCAAAAGGCCTGCTTCTGGTTTGGATGGGCCAGAGCCCTGGCCTGAGGACAGCTGCAGCCTCTTCATGCTGCTCCTGTTTCTTCTCTATGAGCCGTCCTCCGTTGGTAGAACAGTGGAGGAGGTTGCAGCCTAAAATGCCTCCGCTGAGTGGCATGGATGTGGAGGCCCAGCGATTTGAAGGTGGCTTTCAAGTCTTTTAGGCTATGTAGCCTTTTATCCATCTTTTTGGAAAATAGAGTCACACCCTCAAAGGGGAGATCCTGAATGGTCTGCTGGACTTCCTATGGCAGACCTGATACCTGGAGCCAGGAGTCCTCTTTTCTGGCAATCCTGGTAGACATAACCCAAGTGGCCACATCAGCCCCATCCAGAGTGGCCTGCAATGAAGCTCGGGAAATGAGCTTGCTCTTCTCCACCAGGGCTGAGAATTCAGCACAGGAGTCTTGCAGCAGCAGCTCTGTGAACTTTGCCATTCCCCCACATGTACTGTAGCAGTACCTGCTGACAATGGCCTGCTGATTAGAAACACGGAGCTGCAAGCGCCAGTGGAGTAGACCTTTCTACCAAAAAGTCGAGTCGTTTCACCTCCTGATTCTTTGGGGAGGGGCCTTGGTAGCCCTGGCGCTCGCGTTGATTAGTAATGCCCTCTCCATCCTCCTTTTCTTCTGCAGAACCAGTAATTGAGACCAGTGCCTGCCTGCGGCATGTGATCCGCGAGTGGAGCCATGATGGTGACAAGAATCCTTGTCTTTACTCTGCACTGATCCCCATGCCGACAGTGCCGGGGCACTGCATACCGAGGAGGAGATACTTGGTACCAAGTCTGCCGACACAGGGTTGGACTAGGGCCGGAGTGCCGCTTCCATTTGTAGGATCTTCAGGTGCTGAACTCTCTCTTTCAGTGTCCTGGGGCAAAACCCTCTGCAGTTCCTGCAGCGATCCTTTTGATGGCTCTCCCCCCAAACACTTCAAACATGAAGTGTGAGGATTGCTTCTGGGCAGGAGACCGCAGCATCCCTAGGAGACCGCGGCATCCCTAGCACTGGGATAGCACTGGAGGGGAAACCCCTCCAAAGGAAACTTAAGAACTAAGTAAAGTACCTACTAACTACTTAACACTAACTACAGAACTAATGAGAACTATATACAGACTGCCAAATGCACTTGTCACGACAACAGCAAGGGGAAGTTCCAGCTAACTGTCACTGGCAGTAAGAAGGAACTGAGGGGGTTGCCGGTCGGTAGGGCTCTATATTGAGCGCCAGGATGGCACCATTCTAGGGGGTGCCCGAACCGACTCGATGGATACCGCTGGGGAAAAATATTCCGGCTGCTGTGCACTTGTACGTGCACACCTGACTGGAACTGACATGAACAAGCACTCAAAGAAGAACCTATTGTTTTGTTACACTTTCATTTATAAGTGGTTCTGTTCTTAAATATATCAAGGCAAAATACTGCAGGTGATATTTCCACAGCTAAATATGTAAACACAGTTAATATACTCAAAACAAATCTCAGATACTGCCTGATAGCAAAATGATCCTGTCCTGGATAGACTGAACAGCAAAATCCAGTCTTGAAAATTTAGTATATTTTACGTCACATTTTAAAACCTTCTTGAGCAGTGCTGAACAATATAAACTTAGCAGAATTTAAGTGTACTTGGACACTTTTTATTTTTAAAACATTACTACTTATATCAGTTTTTAAAGGTTTTTAAATGATTTTTCTCCAGCATAATTACAAAAAATATATTTCAATTTTTCAGAAAAACCAAAAGAGTATATTTTATGTTTTAATCTCCAGCAGTTGGCAGTTTAAAAAAAAGTTAATCAAAATGAACATTTTCATTTAATTTTTTCCAGTGAACCAAACTGATTTTTTTTTAAACTAAATTCTAGTTTTACTAAAATTACACACTTCATTTACATTTTCATTACACAAACTATTTCTCTATAAATATAAAGGAGTTGTCTCCTGTCCTAGAAATATCCTTCAACTGAATTCTCTTAACCTGCAATAAGAAGCAAGTATGGGTTTGTCTATACAGGCTGTGGAGTGAATTACGTTAGGGAAATTTTAATGTGTACCAGCAGGGTATACACAGACCAATTAGTGTGCAACACGCTGGTATGCTTTAGAAATCCTACCCCCATAGTGCACACTGCTGCACCATGTGTGTAAACAAGCCCTTAGTAATCTTACAGACATATAAATTATATACATTTATACTATAAAAACCTGAACATTAGGGATAGCATATTAATGTGTCAAAGTATTTATTAATTTTAGTCTTCTTCCTCTTCTTGATGTCTACGTTGAAAATTCAGCGTTGTTTGTCCTCTTTCAGGATCTTGCATTCGGAGGATCCGAATAAGGCCACTTGTAGGTAGGGAACTAGAAACAAAACACACAATTTAAATTATGACCCTTGCGAATGAGTTAATGTTTCTGCCAATTTGACTCTCCATTACCTGTTTGCCTTACATGACAGCAATTTTTCTTTGATCATATGAAACAGTAAAATGGAGTGAAATTCTGGCGCTACTGAAGTGAATAGCGAAGTTTCCACTGACTTCAATATGTCCAGGATGTTAACCCCTGGCCTTTACGAGCTGTGAACTCTATATATTTTATGCAACAATACCACTTTTATTCCAACCCCAAAATTTTAAAATCTAGACTGTATAAATTATACAAATTGAGTTTTAAACTGAAAGCACCAACTCCAAGAGAAATAAAATTAGTGCTCAAACACCCCTTAAAGTTTACATTTACCTTAGATCCTGATGCGACAAACACACACTCAACCCAAGTGTAGTTATGCACATATGTGTATGCAGGATCCAGGCTTTAAATTGTGGCAACAAAATAGCTTAACTGTACTTTCTTTGCACTTTTGTTTCCATTATATTAGTGTTCCTCCATATTAATACTGCAATTAAATGCATATACTTTAACAAAATGTAAAATTTGACTTCATAATACTTCACTTAAATGTATGAAACCATATAGCTAGAATACGATCAAATGGTGAAGTCCAACATTCCTAACTAAATATAGCTTCATAAATTATTCAGAAAGGTATTAGCTTTTTAAAAATATTATGATAGAATATAATTCTATTCTGCTCCTAAATTAATAAGACATTTATAAAAAACTAAATTTCAACATAAAGGCTTTAATTCCATCCATATCTTCTGGTGACTTCTTGATGGTTCACATTCCATATTCAAAAAAGTTATTAGCATTAATGCCTTTATCAATACTAACTTTGATTTTTTATGATGTGATTTTACTTATTCTAAATATTGATTATCCATGGAAAAAGAGTCCCCTATATTTATGGAAAAAACCCATAAAACAACCACAAACCTTCCCTGTTATGTCAACATTTTTCTTATAGCTACCTAGTTTGATTAGATTAAGTTTGTGATCTCCTTAGATATACAGTACCGTATTTCCTTTTCCTGGGTTATAACATTACCATGTTGACTTACACTAACTTATCTTGAGCTGGGTTTGTGGGGACTTTAATTGTGCTCTTAAATCCTAAATGCCTTTAAAAAAAAACCCAACCCAAATGCTTGATAGAATAGCTATGATACATCTATAGCAAACTTGCTCTGTGTTCCACCTCAGGCACATTCTTGTGATAAAAACATTCCCTGGTTTTTTTAAGTTATGTAACATTTATTTCTGCTCACATTATTCAGAGCGACAGACACTAAGACTAGCATCAATTGTATTTCATATCATATCCTACTCTCCATTTCCCAAAGTAGGATTTTTTTTTTTAATAACCATGTCCAGTATATATTTAATCATTAGTTTTCCAGTAACTTAAGTATGCTATCCTCATCTTCAGGGACAGATTGTGCTTCACACCTCACATAGCTGCATAGATTAAGGGGAGATGGTGCAAGCAGTATTCCACACCTGTCTCTTGGGTCCTTGCAAAAGGGCCAGGCACAAAACCAGATCCTCATGGTTCATGAGCATAAGGAGAGACATCTTTATTGGCACCAGTGTGGCTAGTAAACATCAAATGAGGAGGGGCTTGTAATCAATCTACCCTCCTGACTGATCTGATTGAAGCCAGGAGGGTGCTCTAATAGAAAGCTCAAAAGGAACTTCTAGATGTTTAATGATCATCAAGCTCAAACCTACAGACTCTCAGAGGTGGAGATACAATAGCCATTCTTTCCTAAACTATTTTACATAAGGATGCATGAAAACAGATCACTGAAAAGCAAACCTGTCGACTCACTTAGACATAACAGCATTTCTGAGACACTATGGCACAAAAATAATAAGTAATTCCTGGCCATCAAACTATATAGTACTCCTGGGGGAATTCTGCACCAAAATATTTTAAAATTCTGCATATTTTATTTGTCAAAATAACACTACATAATTACACCAGTTTCAATTATTTTGGTAATTTATTCCAAAATACCTGTCAGCAAGTATGTCTGTAACAATACAGACACACAAAATTTCCCCCAGTAGTAGAGAGTTAATGAAACCCCTATGACAACCCAGTTCCTGTTTCTCTAGTCCCTTCCCCACCCCTCCAGAGTTCAGCTGGGGGGCCAGACATCCACAACCCTTCTCCGGCAGAACCCAGCCACGGGGGCCTCCCTAACCAATACATCCAAACAACCTTTCCCCCTCCACGTCTGAGCCTCCCCAGGGCCCAGATACCCACACCCCGTTACCCTCCCAGAGCCAGCTACAGACCTGCCCCTGATATCCACACCGCCTTCCCCCCCCTCAAAGCCCAGCCACAGAGCCCGCCCCCCCCAACACCCACACACCCTCCGCCCCAGAGCCGAGCTGCAGAGCCCCCCGTTGCCCACACACCCTCCCTCCCCGTGAGAACCCAGCCCTGGGGACCCCCCTGCCCAGATACCCCTCTCCCTCCCGCAGAGCCTAGGGATTCAGAGGGAGAAACAGCCTGATGCTCAGTGCCAGGCTTGCACAGTTTCCTGTATGATGCCCTGTCCTTCCCTCAGGGCATGCTGGGAATTGCAGCTGCCAGGAACCCTCTAGCTCCCTCCCCCCAGCAGTGTCTTCTGGGAGCTGGGCTCTGCCAGGTCCAGCAGCCCCTAGTGGCAGCAAGCAGCACCGCAGCCCATTTCTGTTGGGGGAAAGGAACTTGTGCACGCACAATGTTAATTTCTGCAAAATTCTGCATTGCGCATTGGCGCAGAATTTCCCCAGGGAGTAAATATAGGGAAGAAACCTGGTCACCAAGGTGGAGGAATACTACAGTTGCACTGGCTATCAAATGAAAATTTCTAAGGACAGAATATGTGTAGCTACAAAATCCAGTCCACAATATTAGAATCATAGAATCATAGAATATAAGGGTTGGAAGGGACCCCAGAAGGTCATCTAGTCCAACCCCCTGCTCGAAGCAGGACCAATTCCCAGTTAAATCATCCCAGCCAGGGCTTTGTCAAGCCTGACCTTAAAAACCTCTAAGGAAGGAGATTCTACCACCTCCCTAGGTAACGCATTCCAGTGTTTCACCACCCTCTTAGTGAAAAAGTTTTTCCTAATATCCAATCTAAACCTCCCCAACTGCAACTTGAGACCATTACTCCTCGTTCTGTCATCTGCTACCATTGAGAACAGTCTAGAGCCATCCTCTTTGGAACCCCCTTTCAGGTAGTTGAAAGCAGCTATCAAATCCCCCCCTCATTCTTCTCTTCTGCAGGCTAAACAATCCCAGCTCCCTCAGCCTCTCCTCATAAGTCATGTGTTCCAGACCCCTAATCATTTTTGTTGCCCTTCGCTGGACTCTCTCCAATTTATCCACATCCTTCTTGAAGTGTGGGGCCCAAAACTGGACACAGTACTCCAGATGAGGCCTCACCAATGTCGAATAGAGGGGAACGATCACGTCCCTCGATCTGCTGGCAATGCCCCTACTTATACATCCCAAAATGCCATTGGCCTTCTTGGCAACAAGGGCGCACTGCTGACTCATATCCAGCTTCTCGTCCACTGTCACCCCTAGGTCCTTTTCTGCAGAACTGCTGCCGAGCCATTCGGTCCCTAGTCTGTAGCTGTGCATTGGGTTCTTCCGTCCTAAGTGCAGGACCCTGCACTTATCCTTATTGAACCTCATCAGATTTCTTTTGGCCCAATCCTCCAATTTGTCTAGGTCCTTATTAACAATAGTAGGGGTGAATTAACAGCTTCTGAATGAGTGAAGAAGTCAGAATGTTGCAGGAGATGAGAAAAGCAACAAAATCTACTAAAATAATGAGAGAGAACAATAGAGAACAATTACTCCAGATAAAATGGTTTACTGTAACAGTAAAACAGCTTGGAGAAAGTCTGGTATCTTAAGCAAATTACTTCTTGGAATAGTTTCTTCTGGAGCATACAGAGGAGAGATGACTTTGAATTAATTTTAAGTAACACGGGAAGTGGTTCAGAGAGCTAATGTAGTGAAGACACTAAGGCGACATCTACACTATAAGCATGGGGCCTGATTCCCAGCTTGTGTAGACATACTAGTGCTAGATCTCAGCTGAGCCTGCATGCTAAAGTCGTAGCGTAGCTGTAGCAGCACAGGCAGCACCAGCCCAGACGGGCAGCTCCAGCTATGTACCCGCAGGGTTTGCCCTCTAGGCAGCGAGCACAGTGCCGCTGCTGCTGCTACCCATGCTACCACAGCTACACTGCTATTTTTAGTGTACTGGCTCCGATGAGAGTTTGTGTATGTCTATGTGACCTGGGAACCACACCCTCTCTCACAGTGAAGACGTACCTTAAATAAGAGTGACCACAGTATCTTGAAACTTGAAATCGTTGCAGGAGAATGGAGTAGGGAAGCGAACAAATACTAAAAATCCCCAATTCATCATGGTGGCCATTTAAGAATGCTTTTGATGCTGATATCCTAGGCATATATACTGTGAAAAAAGTCTATTGCCTTCTTTCTTACGTGTCTATTTAACATTTCTAGTGCACTTTTTGAGCTAGGAAGTTTAAGGAAAAATGATTACCTCATGCTCTGTGGGGTGAGCAAAATGAATTGTCGATGACGTTGAGAATCTGCCATCTTGAGCATCATGTCCATTGCAATTCTTCTATTAACCATGTCCTAAGAACAGAGGATTGACCAGTTACTGATATTTAGAATATATTTTTATTGTCTTGCATTTCTGTACAGACAAGCTATTAATATAAACATCTGCAAAAACTTAATTAAGTTTGGAGATATTTTACTAACACAATTATTTAATTAACTAACTAAAACATGTACATTGAAATTCCATCAAAAAAAATAAAGCTACATCAAGAGAACATGAAGGTTACAGTCAAGCACTGAAATTCAAGAAGTGAATAGAGGCTGTGTGCCTGTCATTACCACTATCCCTTTGCATATGTGTATTATGATACAGCCTTCAATTACATACTCAACATACGATATCTTAATACATCATACCTTTTTCTACTACTTTGGATACGTGCAGCCCCTTATGCTACCATACACCACTCAGCATATGCTTAAGAGTGCTTGGTAGTCACTTATATACAACATGCACAATGTACAAAGCACAGACTCCTACAATGACCTACCTCCCCTTTGCTGTCAATTACACAAATGGACCATACAAAGATGTAGAAAAACATGCATGTCTATCGTATTTGAAAACCAGAATATGACCATGAAATTAAAGACTGTATTGTAATGCACATGCGCAGTGGTGTTGTTACCTATGCTGTCCTGATCACTTCACCGTGCAACCTTAAAAGTTCTCTCAACAAAGTTTCTCACTGGAATTTTCTAGATTTGTTTTTTTTTAGGACAATGTTCAAAGAACAACTGAATTACATCACAAAAACCCCAAATCGGGTAGGAAGTTGGCATTTATGTTTGAGGTACATACACTGCAGAGTGTCTGTATCCTCCCTGTCCAGATTCATGATATTTTGTAAAACCAACGTATACAATGCATCTATCATGCAAGGTCTTGAAGCCATAAATGCCCATCCTCAACATAATCCATGATCATGTTCTGGTCAGAGAGGTAATCAGCTATAACAGAGGAAAGATGAATGGCAACCACTTGGCTCGCCACTGACAAATTGAACACACACTACAAAGCAGTCTGCCTGATCTCCACAGAGACATCCTTTGGTAGGCAGATGCTGTACAGGGTTTTCCTATATACATTCTTTATAAATCAAGTAAGAAGATAGGAGTGTGTATTGCTATTTTGATATTAATTCATCGGTGTTTCAATAGCTTTGGAAGAACTCTGGTGTATAAGCGTGGAGAGGGATGTAAACCTATCTCATGTTTCCAAGAAGCAACACTGAGCTAAACTGCTACACTTGTTCTACCAGTGAAGGCAAAACTGTACACTGATGAAGTGAGGGCATGAGCTAGGACCAGAGTTTTCTTAGCAGACCTCTGAGGAAACTCAGCGATGTTATGTGGACAGTTATGGACTGGGGAAAATGTTAAGATCCAGAAAAGCAAGTTATGTGGAAGTTATATTTCTGAGTTATCTCATGAACTCGACTTATATTTTAAAGTAGTCAGACTTATTTACACAGACAAGCGCCTTATTTCTGGTTACCAACTTGGAAAACGAGAGAGTAAAGTTAATGTATTCTCTAATTAGCATTATGGAGGGAAAATGTTAGTAGGTTCACAACCAAAATTAACTACCACAGTCTTTCAACTTTCCAGTGATCTCCACTTAATTACTTTGGTAGTTTATCCAGCAAAACTGGAAGATGTAGCTGAAATTTATACTTACCATGAAGACATCAAATTCATCCAAGCATCTGAAAGGAGATTCAGCAATGGACCATAGAGAAAGAATGAAACAAACTGTTGAAAAAGAACGTTCACCTCCTGATAGAGATCTCATGTCATTTAGAGCAGCCTTGTTTATATCTCCAGGCTGGACCTTAAATTAAGTTAAGACATTCATTTAATTAGTAGATCATGACTGATACTTGCATAAGAAGAATAGCGTAATTTTTTTCATACAAGATTTAAGTTTACAAATATTAAACATGAAAAATCTATCTATAAAATGTAGCGACACAGTAAGTTTGTATACTTCAGTGTAAATGTGTCTCAATGAAACTAAAATAGTTCAATCACACATAATTTTGTAAGGGGTAGTTGCAAGTCAACTGTCCCACTGCTTTGCCCAAATAAAAACGGAACAGATTTAATTTAAACCAATAACTCAGCCTGTGACTTGTTTAATTCTCCATTTTTATAACTAATTTATTTGAGCATAAGCTTTCGTGAGCTACAGCTCAAGCTCACAAAAGCTTATGCTAAAATAAATTGGTTAGTCTCTAAGGTGCCACAAGTCCTCCTTTTCTTTTTGCGAATACAGACTAACACGGCTGTTACTCTGAAACCTATTTTTATAACTGTTAACCTCATCACCCAGTGTAGTTATGTTTCTGTCAAACCCCAATGATCTTAGAACTGTAGCTAATTGTATCACTACTGGTGTTTTAACAAGGAATAGCCCCTCTGTATGAATACATGACACAGGGTAAACAGTTCTGTGTTCCTTGGATTACAGTGACACCTTGTGGTATCTATCTATATTTTTTTACTGGTATTCTGAAGTGCTTGAAAAAAAATAAAAAAGTTGTTTTAATTAAAGATATTGTAACAAAATATACTGGTAAACATAAAATCTGTTTGCTGGTAAAAATTTTAAACAAAGTGTATTGTATAATTTGTTTCTTCCTTTTTTACCTTTCAGGACTCATTTAGGTGTTGAATCACTCTCCACAATATGTCAACAGGACAGAAATCAAGCCAAGATGGACCCAAAAGAGGGACTTGATGCATCTGAGCCGCAGAAATAATGAATTTCCTTGTTTGTTTGTTTTGTTTAAAGATAGTGTTTGTATGTTGCAAGAATTTAAAATGCTATGCAAGTTTTGTACCTTATCTCATATTTCTCCCATCTAGAGAAAAACATTTTGATCACAAGTAATTTCTATGATTTTTTAAAAAAAAATTATAATTGGACTTCAACTGTTCAAGGGTTTGAAAAACTGTGCAAGTCTAGTTAGAGAAACTAACCACACTAAGGTGGGAGGACATCAAATTATTTACTAATTGTAAATATCAGGTGGAATTTACTGGACACCATGACTTCTCTTGTTTTCATTTTCTAATCATTATTTGAAAAGTTAGAATGCAAGTCTGAAACAATGCTGACCAATTATACATTTACTACATCTTCACATTTTAAATTTACATTTAGGTATCTATTCCTTTAACAGCTCATCTGTTCATCTTGTTTTTTTCTGCATCTCCATCCTCTGACAGGATAATCAATTCACACTAACTGTAATGTCAGATGGAGAACAGAAAATAGTGAAGTAAGTTGACAGAAACCAGATATTTTATTTTCATGCAAAAAATCTGCATTAGTAAATGCCAAGTAACTGAATACAAAAAGGTACCGGAACAGATTTTTTTAAGGGTTAAAATTCCACCGACGTTTAACATCAAACATAATTTTTGGTAAGGTATTAATAAAGAAAATACAGTGACTTACTGTTATTGAAAGTGTTTCATTCTTGTGGTCAAAACTCATTTTTCCAGAGTAAGATCGCTGACATAATAAGAAGTCAAAATAGAACTTGCATCGTAAAGTAAGGCACCTTTTTGGATAAATTGTGCAAATAAACATCAGATCAGTGATCTTTAAAGATAATATACATAAAAAGGTGAACAGATTTAGAGTCGAAGATCCCACATCAAAAATGAAAGAGTGGAATCTTAATCAACATTTAATTACTGCTTCATTTTAATAATAGAATACATAACACACAACAATACCTTTGTTCTATGTGTTAAGGTTGCAGCTATAACATACCTAATAGAACCACAAAAACAAGGAAATAAATCAAAATATCTAAAAAGCACATACCCTTTCTACTCCTCTACCCAGACACACATACACCCCATTACTAAAACACTCAACAACTTAGTTTTACTTTAGTATGGATGGGAGCCATCTAGCACCAACTTCCCAGACTTACTCCCACTACTTTCCATTCTTCACAGTTCTGGGGGAAAAAACACATTCACTCAATGTTTGGAGAAGGGTTTGCTGGAATGTTGGCATTTCTATTGGGGCAAAGTTGAAGTTGAGATGCTTTGTGTGGTACAGTGGTTATTTTAGTTGTGAAGTGTGGATAGAGGAGTAGAAAGTATGAACTGCTAGAGGCCTTAACTTTTCATTCCTTTCTTTAGTGGTTTTGCATTGGATGTAAAATCTACAACTTTAACTCACACACACCATAGTGCTTTTGTCTATTAATTTCCCACTTTAACATTTTAGATTAAGAAAGGCTCTCCAATGCAGCAATGGCTACGTTTATGAACAACAATACCTGCTCCTGACCCAGAAAGGCACTTTCATAAAGAGCCTAGTATTTGTCAAAGTTCCTGTTGCTTTGTCATAGATCCTATTTTCTGTTGGTTCAGGAGAGGAACTCTTAAGCCAGCTGAACAGTTTGACAAAGAACAGGATCTTTGAGATTGATAGTGGTTGCTTTCATGAAGTCCAGGAGCTCCTGTGCTGGCTGCATGATTTCACAAAGAACGAGATCCTTGACGCAGTATTAACTGCTTTATCAAAGAGGCTGCTGCAGTTTTATGGAGCTCCTAGTTTTCAATAAACCAGCAGCTATTGCACAGAGGATCCTGGTCATCGTGAAAGCTGTTCAGCCGTAAGTGTGTCATAAGAGGGCCTTTCTTTGAGAAACCAGCAGCTACATGATAATTATAAATTTTGATCTCCCCCTGGCTAACTTGCGCAAAAGACCACTCATGGGGGCGGGGGTGTTTACAAAATATTTTAACAACTCCAGAGAACCCAACAAACCAGCACTATGTACATTTTTTTGACTTTCTATAATTTGACATTTTGAAGCCAAAAAATGAGATTGAGAATGTGAACTTATTTGGGGGACAAAATTAACTCATTTTCTTGAAAATCCTCAGAAAATGCAAGCTTTAATCAGAAATTATACACTAAAATTTGGGACAGATGCACTGTCTTTGAGGTTGAACTCCCATTTTAAGAGCACAACACAATGCAGCCTTAGCTGTGATGTCCCAATGGCTCCACCATAACATATTAGAAAAGTTAAATCCACTTCTGGAGATCAACACCAAGTAAGTATTTACTGCACAGCATCTTAAGCTAGTTTTTTAAAAGCAATAATTTAAATTTTAGTTATATACTGCAATTAACTTGTTACTCTACAGCCAATACCCAAAAGCCACTGGAGAAGTAGAACAGGGAAGGATCTACAGCTTTTTTGTTAAAATATATTATCTCCCCACTCTACAAAAGCTCCACCTCACAAGTCCTTCAAGAAAGAACAGTTATTTACCTTACAGTAAGTATGGTTCTTTGAGATGTGTTGTTCACATGAATTCCACTCTTGGTGTGCATGAACCTCATGTGCAGAAGATCATATTCTTTCGGCCAGCAGTGTCTGCTGGGGCTGCACCTCCATACTAAATGCTCTCACCTCAGGGAATAAAGGACAGAGCAGACCCATCTGACCCTCAGTTCCCTCACAATACAGAATTCCAGAGAAGTAGGACTTCATAGAAGCAGGGAAGGAGGGCACATTGTGGAATCCATCCGGACAACACATCTTTAAGAAACACAGGAAGTGTACAGTAGAAAGTAAGTGATTTTCCACATGGATTCCACTCTCTGACTAAGAATAAGTTATCTATTTGCTTGGAGGTGGGTAGTTGAAACCTACTTAAACAATGAGTGCAGGGAAGCCCTACCAAACTAGGCATCCGATTTGGAAGCCTTTACCAAAGAATAGGTTCCTGTGAATGTGAAGACTGAGCTTTACAGAGCTAGTCTATATATTTCCAGAATAGGGACATTCTTCACAGGCAGAAGAAGCTGCTGGAATGAGCTCTAATGTGGCTAAGGTGGATCTAATCTGGGTAACTCATAACATGTCCTTATGCAAATGGAGATCCACTTGAATTATCTTGGAGAGGATAGTTCCTGACCCCTTAGCCCTCTTTGGAAAGGCCATAATCAGTCTAGTGCATTCTTGAATGGTTTTGTCCTGGCAGTGTAAAAAGACAACAGATAAGAAGTATATGAAGTTTAGTTTCTCCCAAGGTCGAAGGAGTCTTGGGGAAAAAACAGATAGATATGAATTGGTTGATGGGGATTTCTGAAACAACTTTGGGTATGAGGAGGGCTGAGAGTATCAAACTTTCCTTATCAAACACAGTGGAAACTGCCATGAGGGCCTGAATATCACCTACCCTTGGAGCTAAGGAAGCACAGAAGGCTTCATTGAGAGGTGGCAAAGGAAGGACCCAACAATGCCATAAATACTACACTGAGGTCCCAAGAGGGAGGGGGCTCCCAGACTAAAAATAAAATGTTTAGGGAATTTTACCACAGTGTCACAGACAGGTCATGGGCAGCCAGATCTAGCAGTTCGAACCAAAGTCATGAGACAGGAGTCAAGAGTTGGCTGGGTCAGAAGTAGGAAACAAACTAGAAATCAGAACCAAAAGTCTGGAACCAGAGTCAGGTTGGGATACTGGTGGGTCAGAGGCAAGAGACAAACTGGAGGTCAGAAACCACATCTTAGATGCCAGGAAATCAAGCCAGAGAAGCAGGAACAGGAATAAGTAGTGGGCAGCAGGAAGTACAAGGCACACAGTCCAGAACAGGATGGAGCCCCATTGTTTGACAGCTTCCAGTTCCTGCTGCTGTATCTTACGTAGTGCCAGCAGGCCAATCAGACCTCAGGGACAGAGCCTCACACCAGTTTCAGAGCTATTAGATAGTCCAACACTACTGAAATGGGTATTGTCAAGGGAGACCACTGTTGCTGAAAAGCTCAAATAGAAAACTTCTTCCACTTTGCTTTATAAATCAGTCTGGTTGAGGCTCTCTTACTTAGGAGAAGAATGTTCTGAACATCAGCCAAAAGTCTTCTTTCAGTGGGCACCATCCAGCCAGCATTCAGGCTACCAGATGAAGCAATGCTGGGTTCAGGTGCAGGATTTGACCATTTTTCTGTCAGGCTCAGCAGGTAAAGTAATTGGTGGTTCCTGAAACATTCTTCGGATCTGAATACCAGAACAGTCTGGGCCCATGCTGAGGCTATCATCACCACCATCCCTGAACCTTGCTTCATTTTTCTTCGAACCCTCTGGATCATGAGGATCAGTGGAATGGCATTCATGATTTTCTGGGATGAGAAAGGCATCCATCAGGGAACCTGGGCTGGAACGCTTTGTGGGAAAAAAAGTTTGACACTTGTTTTGGCTTGTGGCAAACAGATCTTTAACTGGGAACTCCGCACCTGCAAAAGATGTTCTGCAAGACTGCGTATTTTAACCGACCTCTTGCGATTATCTGAGAGCCGTCTGCCGAGTTGACCTGCCAAGATGTTCTGAAGGCTGGGAAGTTGCAGGGCTCCAGAGGTAATTGTACTGAGTTGATCATCTGTTACGGTGATCTCCCCAAATCAGCCAGTCATTGAGTTATGGGTAGACCTGATGTCTTTGCCACCTTAGATGAGTTGCCATATATAACAAATACTTTGTGAATATCTGTGGTACTGTGGAAAGTCCAAAGAGCAGGATGCCTTATTGATAGTGAGAAGTTCCCACCAGGAATCGGAGTTATTGCCCGTGAGTTGGATAAATGGACATGTAGAAATATGCATCTTACAGGTTGAGAGCCATGAACCAGTCTTGAGGCTTTAACAAAGGAATTACAAAGGTCAGAGTTGTCATTCTGAACTTGAAACAGCAGATCAATGTATTGATATAGGAAAGGTCCAGGGTGGGTAACCAAACCTCTACCTTCTTTGGGGGATGAGAAAACAATGGGAATAAAATCCCTTGTCCCTGAACTCTAAGGGCACCTCCTCCACTGCTCCAAGTTGTAGAAATGAATCTTCTTGTTTTAGCAGTATCTCACAAGGGTCAGAGAAAGAAAAAGAAAAAAAAGAAAAAGGATGGAATTGGATAGAATACCCCTTCTTTATAGTTTCCAGGACCCACTGCTCTCTGGTGATCCAAGTCCAGACTTCCTGAAAATAAGAGGCGGGTGCCAAAGGGAGGGCAGAAAGAGAAAGGTTCTCATACAGTTCTGTCAGGCTCTCAGTTGCATCAAACCTACTGTCTGGTGGAAGATCCAGACTGTGGAGTGGAAGATTAATTAGGGATATCTTTGGTGCAACCTCTGACAGAATCCTCACTGGAGTTCATTTCTGACTCCCATTGTGCTACTCACCCAAGGAGGGGAAGGCGGGTTGGGCGATGGCTCTCTGCTGTGTTCAGATGAGGATGAGGAAAAGGAGTAAATTCCTCCAAGAGAGGAGTCATTTTATTCAGAGTCTTCTATGGGGATATCAGAGATATATCAAATTAAGGGAGTACCAATAATTCAGTAATTAGTGGCTTAGATCTCACTACTCTGAACCTCTCTCTCTATTGGGCCCACAGTTAAGTTTATATGATTTTTGTACTGAGATAGCCACTACCAAGGAACATAGTTCCAAGGTTACAAATACAGAGATGGTAGGTACTGGGTCCCTGGGTACTGAGACACCCAGTACAGAGATTGGTGCTGAAGGGACAGTAC